GTCAGTTATATCTCCCTTCTGTTCCTTACTCCCTGGCATAGACTCAATTCTTTTGAAGGGATTGTAGTCTTTTGATCTCCATGTATAGTTTAAGAACAGTGCATAATGAATGAGACATCCATGTTTAACTTTTTAAAAACTTTTTTTTTCATTTACGGTTTCTCTATACGTCGACACTCTCTTTAACAGAAACAGTAAGATTTAAATCTGAAATAACTATTTAAATTACTCCACGTGTAGTTACTGATACTCTGTGCAATTATTTCGTTTAAATTTTTCTGGGCATATGGATAAATAAACAGGGATTGCATTGTACAGATCTTTTTCACATGATAAAAAGCACGCTTTACAATATTAAAGCAGCATTATTATTATGATAATAATTGACGAAGCTCTTTAATATTTTTGAAATAAATTCTAAGAAAGTTATTTATTTGAAATCAAACATTTTTTTTAGAATAAATTAAAAAGACTGGCTACAATCTTTTAGATTCGGCACTTTCTGGGCTTTCATTCCACGGAACGCAGAGCCGCAAACAGATGTGTAAGTGTAAAGACTCAAAGTTGTGCGTGAACCTTATCGATTAAAAAAAATTGTCGCAAAACAAAGAAGTTTGAGTGTTCTGAGATTGTAAAATGATAATGTCTAGAAAACACGAAAAAAATACTAATATGGATTTTATCATACAGGGTGAGTAAAAAAAAGTTTTTTTAGCGGCGGCTGGTGCAAAGTTGTACCTTTTTTTGTTTAACTCTCCTTTTTCAATATTTTTTATTTTTTTTATTTTTTTTGGTACTCTTATGGCTAAAAAAATCCTTAAACCTTTTTTTCTCACAAAATCCAAAGTTCAGAAAAGCAAACATGTGTATATACATATTATTTCTATCAAACTCAAAAATTTTATAAATATTGAATCACAGAAAACTCGCAAAATTGTAATAGAAATTCGCAATTTTCAGTTCTGGTCTATTTTAGAGGAAACGGTGTTTTTCAATGGCTCCTCAGGTTTTGACTGAACAGCGTATTATTTATAACTTTAGAATAAACTCAGAAGAAAGGAACTAGAGGATTAAAAAAATTAGACAATGAACTCTCATCCTTTATGGGTGACCCTGTATGATCTGTTTTGTTTATTATTTATCAAAGACATATGAAAATTCACGTGATTCATATTATTTAATAATGTTAAGAAATCAGGATTTAACCGCTTCATAAATGTATTTCCTTTTATCTGTAACAATTCGATTTATTTTAATGAATTTGTATAATAATATCTGTGTAACTATTTCTATATTTTCCAACATAATTTTAACAGTAGCTTTTTAACATAAACATATTTTTAACAGTAGTTTTATAAAATAAACAGACATATATTGGCTGGATAACTGACATCTGATAATATAAATACTGAGGATGGCTTACCTATATAATAAAACAAGACATTCGTATATATATATATATATATGTTGCCTATAGCCGGCCAAATGGCCGTGTTATAGGCTAAAAAAATCGAAATATTTTTTCAATTTTTTTTTTCAAAATAATTTTTTTCAACATTTTATTTTTCCACGGGCAGCCGGTTTAGTTGTTTGTAAATAAAATTAAAAACCTCGCATTTTAAGATAAGTATGCGAAATGTTTGTACTTTGTGGGTACTATATGCGTATATGTTTTTGCATATGTGTACTATATATGTGCATATGTGTACTATATATGTGCATATGTGTACTATGCGAAGAGAAAAGAAAACATGTACTTTGTACATCTCTGATTCTCGGTTAGAAAATTATGAAGAGAAATTCTATTTTATTTTCCGAAAAAATCAATTATTTTAATCTTACTGTGCTACTGTGTTAACTTCCATTTTCCGTCACATTACCACCCTGACTGATGATATTTTACAAGCGCGCACACAATTATACCCTTCCCTCAAAGCGTGCATATAAAGGACAACATACAAATCAATACTTTGTACTCTAACTCTTGAAATAAGAGCATAACTCTATGGTTTTCAATTGAGAAAACAGGATTTACGGGCGTAGGATTAGAGAAACAGGATTTACGGGAGTAGGATTAGAGAAACAGGATTTATGGGCGTAGGATTAGAGAAAACAGTATTTACGCGCGTAGGATTAGAGAAAACAGGATTTACGCGCGTAGGATTAGAGAAAACAGGATTTACGGGCGTAAGATTAGAGAAAACAGGATTTACGCGCGTAGGATTAGAGAAAACAGGATTTAAGGGCATAGGATTAGAGAAACAGGATTTAAGGGCGTAGGATTAGAGGAACAGGATTTACGCGCGTAGGATTAGAGAAAACTGGATTTACGCGCGTCGGATTAGAAAAACAGGATTTACGCGCGTAGGATTAGAAAAACAGGATTTACGCGCGTAGGATTAAAGGAACAGGAACAGCTACAAAGGAGACTTTAATTTCGACTTATATGTCTTAAAATATGACTATAGGAAAAATGACTTTTGAAGTCTGTATGACAAGCGACTATGAATGCAATGAAAAGACTAAATAAATTGCGCCCAGTCGTCTCTGAAGTTTATTTTTTGTAAAAGATTTGTGTAAGAGATTTGGTGAACATGAGAGGAAACGAATTAAGAGTTATGAGGAGGATTAGGCGATAGGATTAAAATGTATTAAAAGGATTAGAAAATATGGAAAGGATTTGAAAATACGGAAAGAATTAGGATATGGAAAGGATATGAAAATATGGCAAGGATAAGAAGATATGGAAAGGAATAGAGGATATGGAAAGGATTAGAAGATACGGAAAGGATAAGAAGATACGAAAAGGATTAGAAGATACGAAAAGGATTAGGAGATATAAAAAGGATTAGAGGATATGGAAAGGATAAGAAGATTTGGAAAGGATGCTGAGATATGGAAATGGCTAGGTATAAAGAAAGGTTTAGGAGATGTGAAAAGAAATAAAAAATAAGGTAAGGAAAAGAAGATATGGAAATTATTAGAAGATATGTGAGGGTTAGAAGATAAGGAAAGGATTCGGAGTTATGGAAAGGATTAAGAAATATGGAAAGGGTTAAGAGATATGAAAAGGATTAAGAGATATGTAGAGATTAAGAGATATGAAAAGGATTAAGAGATATGTAGAGATTAAGAGATATGTAGAGATTAAAACCGAATAGTTTATTTATTTAAAGTGTATTAAAGAAGGAAAATAAACAACTTCTCCACTGATAAAGTATAAATGCTGATTAAGCACGGCTTTCTTTCAAAAACATGTCTACGAACGTGAATACTAACGTGTATATACTATATAAATATGTTACACAAAGAAGCATAATGACCAAAACAATAAAGTTCTCGTTCCTTAGATTTGTGTTAAAATTATTATTAGTTAAAAATAAATTGAAAAAATTTGCGAAAACGTTCAATTTTTAATCTTGAAAACATTTCCAACACCCCCCCCCCCCCACCAACTCTTAAAATAATGTTTAATTTCTTTTCAAGCATAATAGAATGCTAAGGTTAAGACGAAAGGATTTAGCCTCCCAGCTCCAAGACTAACATCACGTATTCAAAGAAATTCAGTTTTCGCCCCAAACTCATATTTCTAATCTATTCTTGGCAACTTTATGGTGTAACATTTAAAATTTCAAATTTAAATTATTTGATTTAATAGATTTTAAAGTTTGAAATATCTAAGATCTATGCTTTTGATTTAAAAAACTATAGGGATTAGACAATCAGAGTTTGTGACACCGGCTCAATTCCTTTCATTTAATCGTAAAATCTTCTGTACAAACCAATAACCAAATTAAATTCACCCTTCACCTTTAGACCGGTTCCTATGATGATAAATGAGAATCTAGTATTTGTCAAATAAAATCCATGTTAGTCTCACTAGTTCTTTTTACACTGAGAGACTGCAGTGTTGAATCTATAACCTTTACGCAATAGCTTTGCCAACAAAAAATAGGGAATTCATGAAACAGGACAATCTAGGATACAGGGGTTGATACATCAATCTAGGATACAGGGGTTGATACATCAATCTAGGATACAGGGGTTGATACATCAATCTAGGATACAGGGGTAGACAAATCAATCTAGGATACAGGGGTAGACACATCAAACTAGGATACAGGGGTAGACACATCAATCTAGGATACAGGGGGTAGACACATCAATCTAGGATACAGGGGTAGAAAAATCAATCTAGGATACAGGGGTAGACGAATCAAGATTCATAATACAAGTTGGCCTCAAGTAAAACATGTGGGACATTACTTTTCTTAAGTTTAACGCTGTTACCGCTTCTTGCAACAAAGAAGCTGGGGGGACAAATTTCTATCAAACCACAGAAAACTCTGAAAGTTATTCGTCAAATTGGCATTTGCATTTACTAATACTTCTTTGTAGCCCTATACATGTACATTTTAAAATGGAAAGGCGCTTGTTTCCAGCTTTAGCTTAAAAGTAGTAATTGATAAAATACTGATCAATATTTGCGTGAGAGTTTGAACATCTTAGTTAGCAATGAAGCGTTCTTTATCTGACTCCGTTCCAGTTGTTTAGAGAAAAATGTTTAGTACTCAGGATCATGCAAGAGAATGAACTACCCTGTACTTACAAGCAAATGGTTACGGGGGAAAGGGTCAGTGGTTTCCGGAGAAAAAAAAACAGTGGTTTCAGGAGAAAAAAAATCAATGGATTCAGAAAAAAAATCAATGGTTTTCCGGAAAAAATGATCGGTTTCCAGAGAAAAAAGTTTACAATCCAAGTCTAAGACATGGTCATAAAAATGGATTGTAAGTATTCGCAAGCACCGCTCCATTATAAAATGCCGCAAGATTTTCCAGAGAGCCATGATTGATTGATAAAAATTCTGAGAAACTTCTTGGGTTTAATTATTTTAAAAAGTTCCGTTTTAGGGAAAATCACTCAGAAACATCTTTCTTCATTTATCAGCAAGCATACCCTTTCAGTGAACTTTATTCTTTCCCAGTTAAACAACTTCTTACCATTTTAGAGACGGGTTTCTTTCCAAAACCACTGCATCAATATGCCTAGGTAGCTTCTCCACGCTACCCTTTCTAGAACTGTCTATCTGTTCTTCATTCTGTGCTTTTCCTACACTCCTTCTCCTTAGAGTATTCGTCTTATTCTCCCCTTGAAGTACAGGAACACTTGGTGCTACGCAGTACATCTGATATCCCTCCAGTCCTGCTGCTATGCTGAACTTCCTCACCATACTAATCTTCTTTACCGCTGGAGCACCTGCCATACTTTGCTTCCTCAAAGGTCCTCCTCGATTACTAGCTGAAGGTGCACTATGTCTTCTCATATTTTCCTCGGGATCATCTTTTGGACACTCGTTATCAGTGAGTTTGGCTAGACCGTTAATCTCATTTCCTTTGAGTGTTTTGGGAAAGGATCTTCTCCTTTTACTTCCCATCTGGTAGCCTTCTAGCTTTTCCAGCAAACTTAGTCGTCTTCCACTACCTTTCTTTTTTAACACTGGTGAGGCTGCCGGACTGTTTCTTCTCAGATTTTCGATTGTATTCACATCTGGAATCGTTGACACACTTTGCCGTTTGGAAATGCGATTATTCTTGTCTACAGTATCTGGTTCTATCAGTTCTTCCTTATCATCAGCAGTTGTTTTTCCAGTATTGTGTTTAAACCAACCTCCAATTTTAACACCGACCGGTAGGTTTGCTACCGTTCGCCGTCTTTTCCTGCAGTTCTGATCGTTAGGCTGTCCTTCATCAACACTCTTCTCTTTATCTTCAAGTATCTTATCTTTAAATCTTGCTCCTTCCAGCCTTTCATCTGGAAGTGAATGTGTTGATCTTTTCTGACCTTTGTGAAAAACCTTATGATCATCTGCCATACTGCGTTTTCTTAAAAAGTCGATTTTATTCCTTCTTGGAAAGTCATCAACACTCTTTCTTCTGGAATTGCTCGTTACCTCTATATTTGGTAGAACCTCTTCACTTTCAATCAGTTCTTCTTCATCTTCTTCTGGAACAGCTGCTGTTACACTATGCCGGACCCAGTTTCCAATTTGAGCTCCAGTAATAGGCAAGCTTCCCCCTGATTTCCTTTTACTGCCCATTTTATCACCTGCAGGGGCCTTTGTCAAACTTTCTGTTCTCTCTTGAACAATTTGATTTGTATGTGTAGCAGCACCAACAGGCTGCCATATTGGTTTATCCAACTGATTAGCTGTTGGACCTCCAGCAAGACTGTGTCTTCGATCCTTCTCAATCTTCTCTCTTTGTGGTGCCTCCTCTAAACTCCTCATTCTTTTCTTGATCATTTCTTTTCCAATTGTGGCTCCAACGATTTTGGTACATTTTTGACTTACTGTCTGTTGCTCCGGAGGTGGTGTTTGCACAATCCCACTTTCATTTCTCAATCCGTCTCCAGGTGCTTCCGTTCCACTTCTTATGTACTCCAAAGGCATTGATGTAGCGTTCTGTTCCTTTGAACCCCCGCGCATTTTTTTTATTAATTACTCTGAAAACAAAAATGTCATTAATTCAATAAAAAAGATTTTTAAAAATGCTCGCTTTCTTAAAGTATCTTCTTAATGTTTATAAAAAAAAAATTTGTATCTTTAAAATAAAGTTAAGAAATTCTAAAATTAAAACTACCGAAAAAATGAGATTTACACTCTCTCTACAAGTTTCATACATTTTCAATTAAAAGTATTTTTGCAAAAAAGGTTTTTTTTGTGATTTTGCTCCAATTCTTTTTTCAAGCATATCTTTTTTACATTTCCGCTTCAATAAGTTTGAAAACCTTATCTCTATTTTCAATCATAATAATATAAAATTTTTCAATTCCGTTAAATTATTGAAAAGAACTGAAACTGTAAATATTTCAATTTATAAAACATTACGAATTAAGAATTCAAGTTAACGGATCTAATGTTTGAGGAATATTTAGAAATAATTAAAAAAGATATTTTGATAATTTTAACTTAGGAGCTAATTATAGTAGACAAACTCTAATTTCACAATCCTTATATCTTTGCAACCATTTGCGTAAGGTATTTTAAACCTTGACTATTATTTAGATCCAGTGGAATTAATTAGATTTTAAAGGTCTACTCATTAAGTTGCAAAGATATAAGGATTAAAAATTTTTGATTTGTTTTTAATCAATTCCTTAAAAAAATAAAACTGCAGGAAACTTCCTGATATATTTTACTGAAAAATTTACTAAATTTAAGATTGTATGCTTCCATTTTCCACCACATTGTATCCCTAACTGAAGTAAGAACGCGCAAACCCAAAGTCCCCCCCCCACCCCTCCCCACTCCAAACCTGCGTTTAGTGCATACAACACACACCTATCTTGAGTGTACTCTTTTGAGAAATTTTGAGAATTGAAAGATTAAAAAATCCACCAAAATATTTCCTGCACCACAATCTTAACTACAAAAATATAAAGATAGTTTTATACTCTCCCAATATTTGAAAATATATCCTTTGCAAAAAAAGATTCATGAGGATTCAGTTCCTGTAAAGATGTGCAAATCTGTGACGTTAAAATTCAGAAAATCATCATAGAAACGTATTAATGTCACATTTAAATTGAAAAAAGGAACTATAATCAAAGTAAAAAAGGTATTAATCCCATTCTCTTTGTTAGAAATATTTGATAGAAATAAAAATGTATTCAACGAGCCGTATTTTCACTTTGGCTTATCCTGTATTCTCTTCTATTTTTTTTGCAAACACTTCCTTTAACAGGGAACACAATTATGATCAAATTTTGATATTTTATCTATTAAGTAAAAACTGAAAAGAGATTTCTATTTTCCTTGTATTTCAGTAAATTTCACCACCAAAAAAAAGCGCTGTTTGTTGGTTTTTTCAAAAAATGTAATTTTCATAAAAATTTCTTTTTTCATCAATCCCTTCACAGTTTTTTTTTTTTATAAAAATGCACAACTACATATAAACATATTTTTTACTTGTCTGGGTGTTACGGCTGAACCAATCGGGCCCAATTTTTTGGTGGGACCTCGCATGACTCCAGGGAAGGTTTTTGGATGATCATAATTTTAAAAAACTTGAAAACCACGAACAAATATTAAAACTAAATATTTTTTTATTTTCGTTAGGTTATTCATTTTAACAATAATGTTACGTGTTAAGTATCACAGTTTTTTATTCAAATATCACAATTTTTTAATATTAGTCCGCGAACTTTTTTGTTATTGTTTTATAATTTAAACAAATAGAAAATGCTGACAGATAGAGCAACAATTAGAAGTTGAAAAGAAGAGGCTCGCGAAGCTCCTTGAAAGTCAGTATCCTATATATACTAGCTTAAAATTCTCCTGCTTTGCCTGGGAACACTGCTAAAAGGTAAACTAATCAACTAAGAACTTTTAAACCAGACTAAGAACATTTCCGTGATTCTACCTAGATCCCCAGTACTAATTTGAGGCAAATCGGCGAAGGGGTTCATGAGTTATGAGCGTTTATCCAAACAAACACACAGAATTACTACTTTGTATTTATAATCTTGTTTTATAAAGTAAAACAATAAAACTATGATGGGAGTCTATATGTACAGATGACAAACGAGACAATTTACAAAGATAAACTTAAACGTATTTATAGACTATATTTAAAAGCAAGTAATAAAGATGAAATCTTAAATTCTAAACCTATAAATCTATCTATGCATATACAACAAATAAACAAGGAACGGGGGGGTGGGGTGTATTCTCATCACATCAAATAGCTTATTTTGTGAGTTCTTGATCAAGTTTTAACTTTTTTATGATTTCAAGATTCAAGATATTAAAATGTTTGTCTAGATTTAATTAATTCAAAAGTTTCTAAATATTTAATGTCAGTCACTTCGGATGTGTTTACATTTCTTAAAAGCATTTCTGTAACGTAAACTCCACCCCCCTCTCCACATTTACCCAAGAGCAAAATAGGGAAACCCAAATACGATATTGGGTTGCAAAGATATAGGGATTTTAAAATCAGAGTTTGTGGCAAAGCCTCAATTCCTTCAACTTTTTTATTTTAAACCTGAATATCCTCAGTTTTGGAAAATGTATTTTCAAAAATTAGATTTGATTTTCAACCTCTTTTAAGTATTGATAAATGTCCCTGAGCTCGAATTTAATGAATTTAAGCCAAGTCTCAAATCCCCCAAAAACCTGTTTCAATTGAGCGCCAGCTTAAATCTTGAAAAATATAATACAATTTTAAGTGAAACCAACCATATTTGAGCCGTGGCTTAAATTTAAGCCGCGGCTCATATTCTTTAAATTTGGCCTCTGGATACTTAATTTTCTTTCATTGTGCTGACGATGAAGAGTTATATTGACACTCGAAACTATTTTCAATGTTGATGTTGATGTAATTTCATCTGACCTTTCATACAACAGTATCCTATAAAGCTTTATACGTTTTTCCAGTTTGAAAAGTGTTTAATCCTTACAATTTCCTCCATTGTTTCCTCGCGAGTCATTTTATAAAGAAACCAACAATGAAAATAATCAATTTTCAAGGAGAATATGAAATAAATATCATGTGTAAACATACAGTCCCATTAAGCCTGATATTCATCTCTAAACTACTTAAACATGACAAATAAATAAAAGTTGAGTCCCTCCCTCCAGATCCCTCCCTCCCGATCCCTCCAGCTAATCACAAATCATCGGTCAATGTGCTTTTAAAAATTTCTAAATAATCGCCAGTCATGTTGTTTATCAACGTGCATTCTACAGTTACTGGGCAGATATTTCTCCGCACATTTGTCAACTGCTGCAGTTTAAATATTGATTTTAGTTTCTAATATTTCTACTTTGTACCTTTATAGAACCATTGCTTTAAGAACAAGGAACCAGGAACTAGAGACAAAGAGTCAGGAACAGAGAACCAGGAACTAGAAAAAAGAGTCAGAAATGGGAACCAGGAACTAGAAACTAATAGTCAGGTATAGGGAACCAGGAATAAGCCACAAAGAGTCAGGAACATGGAACCAGAAACTGAAAACAAAGAGTCAGTAGCAGGGAACCAGGAACTAGAAACAAATAGTCAGGAACTATGAAACAGGAAATAGAGAAAAAAGCTAGGAAAATGGATTTAGGAAATAGAAACAAAAGCTAGGAACATGGAACCAGGAAATAGAATAAAAAAAAACTAGAAATATAGAACCAGGAAATAGAAACAGAAAGCTAAGACCAGGGAACCAGAAGCTAGAGAAAAAGGTTATAAATAGGGACCCATGAATAAAAAAAGCAGGAACGGAATCAAGGATTCAGGAACGGCTGCAAGGAACAAGGAAACCATAAACAAAATTAAATAGTTTAATATTTTTAGTCATTTTTAACTATGCATCTACAATTTTCGATTCAAGTATATTTAACATTGACAGTAGAAATATGAGTAAATGATAAAAGTAGCTTGCAAGTAGCTTGCACATGACCTAACAAAGGGTTCTTTTGTTTGATTTGGCCGATGCATAATGATTGTTACTTCAAGTGCAGTCAGACAAAGATGCAGAAAATCCATTTAAAATGTTTTAAAATTGGATGACAGTGCAATTTTGATATTGCTGATTACTTTACTCAATTATTCATTAAGATTAGATATCTTAAAAACTAATTGTTCAAGAATAGATATTTTAAAAACTAATTGCTCAAGATTAGATATCTTAAAAACTAATTGTTCAAGATTAGATATCTTAAAAACTAATTTCTCAAGAATAGATTTCTTAAAAACTACTCGTTCACAACCCACGACTTATTTAGTGGTTTTGTCAAAAGTTTTTTTTAACAATGTATCAATTTACATTACATATATATGTACGCGCGGGGCCTCCTCTTTTTAATGCGTTATTAATATTTGTTTGGCATTATCACTTTAGAACAAGAATGTTTTAAAGAAATAAAAGTTATAAATTTTTTTCAGAAAAATAGTTTTTGTCACAAAAAAGGCCCAGTGTGGGAAAAATGGTATAAACTTGTACTATAGGATCAGTACCTACCTCAAATAAGCATCTTCAAGCCGTTATCTATTATCCAGTGTATTGTACCATTGTGAGTAAATCAATCTGAATATAAAACAAAACGTGGTTAATAAAAAAGTGGTAAACTTCCATAAAAGGAATCATTAGTCTTTTCCACAAACAATGATTTTCTAATCCCTATATCTTTGCAACCCGGTGTCATTGCCCTTTGTAGCTATATGTCGGAGACAACAGATATTTCAAACCATTGAATTATGTTTGATCAAATAATCTAAGTTTTAAATGACGAAAGTTTAAGCTATTAAGTTGCAAAGATATAGGGATAAGAAAATTTGAGTTAGTGGCAAAAACTCAATTCTTTTACGCAAACAGAATATAAAATCAATACGACTGTACATATTAAGTCGCCCAGATCGACAAAGATCTAGGGTTGCAGTGCTCGTCCCTGATCTACACCAAAGTACTGGGCAAGAATAAAAGTACAGTGCCTCGGGATGTAAAATAACAAAAAATCGGACGC